CCCCCCCCCTTGTTTGTTGGGGTACATGCCAGGCAGTCCCACCACGAGCTGTGTTTGGAATTCACAGGGCAGGTGCATGTGGTAGGGTTAGGGTTAGGGTTGGGTTAGGGCTAGGATTAGGTTTATGTGGTAGGATCGGGCATCGTCTCCCTTCATGTACACTCATTTCTTCGACGATAAGGAAGCAAAGAGTCGTGGCCAAGTTTTTCCAGTATTTTGTTCATTCAGTCCAGATGACCCTCTCTCTTTGTCCGTGTGGTTTTCCGCGTGGTTGTTGGTGACGTCATGTAATAACACACAACGGAACAATACTCGTAAAAACAAACAAAAATAGGTGCTGCGAGGACCTCACCGAGAAAGCCATCGTGGAGAGAAGGACAAGAGACAATGTCAGCCTCGTCCTCCTTGTGTTCAACAAGTGGTTCTGAATTTGGTTCTGGTTCCGGTGCTGGGTCTGGTTCTGAATTTAGTTCTCGTTCGCTACGGTGTCGCTTGGAGTGGTTGCCGCTTTCTGAGGCACTGCTGTGATGTCCCCCCCCCTGCCCTCCGAGAGTGTGCCCAAGGATATGTTTTCGAACCACCTGTTTCGGTTCTAACATCGATTGGGTTCTTAGTGTGTGGTCACTGTCTTGACTTGCACCCATCGTGCGAAAACTAAGACTATTAAGGGTTAGTCCCAGGGTAGCCTTTCTTGTCGTGGGTCCTGGCAGTACTTCTTCGTGTCGTAATTTGATTTTTTAGTGTTGTTCTGCTGGCTCGCTTTGTTGTGTTGAACGCGATTCAGTGAAATGAAATATCAAAATAATGTGATTTGGTTTCGGACTGTGGTTGGCATGCCCTACTGTAGCACATACAACTACAAGAACCTCTTGCGGTTAGATTTGGCGGTGTGTCCAAAAAAACGATCGACGGGCGACGGTAGGCAGCAGAGTCTGTTTCGTTCGTGATGACATTTTTTTTTTTGGTACATATGTTCTAAAAGAAATGGTCGAGACTGCTGGCGTTTCAGCCGGCGGCCGGCTCAGGTCGTTTTCGTCTGTTGTGGCTAGACTAGTGTTGAATAAGGGCTTTCGGTCGGGGCTTGATGTACTCTATTGTTTTCCTTTCTTTGTTCCTCCCGTTTGCGGGCTATGTTTTTCATGGTGTTGTTTTTTCTTTTCTGTAACCTTCGCCTTGATCGACCACGAATACTATGCACTGCGGGGGCTGCTGTCTCACTGCCGTTGTTCGAACTATTGCTGCTGCTGCTGCTGCGGCGGCGGCGGCTCTCCCAGTGTTTTGTCCTTTGTGTTCCGACGTCTGTGTTGGGGACGACCCGGCTTCTGGCGAACAGTCTCCTCTTCGGCCAGCAGTGGTCCGCATCCATCCGCGTGCGTATGTGCACACCCGCCGTCCGTGGGGAGGCCGATTTTTACACGATATTATTAATGAATTGTTTCTGGTGGCGTAGGCGCGTGCGTGCGTAGTAGTAGGTGAAGTGATGATGGTAGTGACGTATACGTGCGGTATTTTGCAGATAAGTTAACATGGTATAATGAAATATATACCAGGTATTTCTTTTCAAAGGTAGTCCTCTCGGGAGGGTGTTAGTGAATTATTCAAGTGTTGCATGGGGGCGGGGCGGGAGTCGGGGTCAGGGATCATAGCATTCTGGCAGCAGAGTGAGTTAGTTGGGTTTGTACGCATGGCGACTACTTGGCGGTCGCATACTAGATTGAGCAGAGCGTGGTCTGATCGCGCACGCAGGCTGTGTGGACGAAGCTCTGCAGCCTTGTTTGTTTTACCTGTTGATGTCTTTCTCTTGCAGTCGACCCCGCTTTGAGGACGCTCGCGTTAAGGAAACTCCCCGCTTTAAGGAAACCTGTTTTGCTGAGCACCGGGGGCCCGGCAAAATATACGATATGGGGTACCCCTATTAGTTCTGCCGCTCTCTGCACGAACCACGCACCACAGTGAGTGCAGAAATAGCGACGCACAGACGCACAAGTAGCGAGCGGTCTGCTGCTGCAGCTGCAACTGGGTGTTGGTATGATAGATTCCCCCCATCTACCGGCGGTCCATCTGATGCCGCCAAAAAAAGAGTCGTGCATTACCTCGTCCCTCACCGAGGGCGAGGTTACATCTCGCTTGGAGGACGTTCGATCCTACAGTTAGCGCTCTGCAGTTAAGAAACGTCAAAATAGGTTCGAACCTCACCAATCCCTTCTTTTGGGTCGAAGTACCGGCCCAAGTCGTTCATTTCGTAAATTGCATTTTTCTTCCTTTGGATCGTCGCATCCTCCCGATTCTCTTATTCCTTACAGTTGGCGCCCGCAGTTAAGAAACGCTTATTTCAGGTCCAGCCTCGAATTCTCATTGTGGGCTATAAACTCAGCGTATGTCGTTCAGTTTCTTATTTCAAGTTTCTTATTTACGTGCAGCCAAATCCTGCTGAATTTCTTATATCGGCAATTTCTTATTATTTCTCTGCTTGCATACTACACATTCCAAAGATACAAATGATTTGCACTGCTTTCCTCGACCCCCGTACTCAACCCCGATTCTCACTACCGACGGCTGCACGTAAGGCCACTCTCTAGAAGCGAATTCTTCCAGCGGCAACGTCTCGCTATCGCTTCAAGGTCGTGTACCCCCCTCATGAGTGAGGGCTGAAACTAAACAAATGCATGAACACCGCATGATGCCTCACCCGCACGCTGACGTGCCCAACAACGAAAACTACCCCGTCATTATGATGCTTATGATGCAAGCTCCGTGAGGCGAAGATCGGGGGTTGTCACCCTTTTGCGCCCCCCGCTCCCTTCCTATCTTTTTGAGACATTTCTTTTTGTGTGACCCAGATTAAGCTATGTTTCTTAACCCTGTTTTCTTATTTCTCGTGAAAAAGTGAGCCTCAATTTCTTAACAAAATATTTCTTAACTGCGGGCGCCAACTGTAGACTACAACAAGTACTTCGTATTGTCTTTTTTCTGTCTTTTGATCTCTGAGGACAATCCACATCACCAAGCCCTCAAGAGAGGTGACGGAGAGTGCCATCAAACCCGTACAACAGCGGAGAGCATATATATGGTTGTCCGCGATGTGTGGCAGTACTACAGTACAACACTCACTGTGAACAGCAGGGGGGGCGCGGGGGGGCGGTGGGGGGGGACTCGGCCTCCAAAAAATGCACTTCTGTTCAGCTTGGGAGGGGGTTGGGAGCAGCACCGCAGATTGCTGATGCCATGGGGGTATCGCACCATCACGTTTCTAATTGGGGCGTTTCTTACGTTGTGGCCGAGATTGAGCTATGTTTCTTACGCCTTTTTGGTTATTTTTCGAACAAAGTTGAGCCTTTTTTCTTGAAGAATTTTTCTTAACTGCGGGCGCTATCTGTATTTATTTGTACGCAAGGGGAAGGGGTGGCGAGTACCGTGAGACGCAGTCGCTTCTTTCGAAGACCGTTCATTCGTTTACTCATGACACTCAACAGACCCGTAGAGCCAAGCCGCAGGGGGAGGTTCAGGGAACTCTTCGCGATATGTGGAAGGAAAAGCCACCAGGGTAGCTTTTGGTCTCCGCCGGGACAACAGTGATACGTACTGGTGTTCCTCGGTGCGACGCTGAAATACCCTCGTTTTTTTTTGTTGCATAAGAATGGGATAAATATATTTCTACTTACTTGGACTTTCCTCCTTCTCCTTCAACTGCCAGCTATGCAGAGGTACATTAATTAGTTGACCTACTACAAACTGGTATACTGTAGTTGTTTCCAACACGTCCGTCCCCGACTGCTGTACATCTCATTTCAAGTATTATTGTAAATATGTTCAGCGGCAACAAACGGTTGCCAGTCGTCTCGGCGATGCTGACTTTTCGTACCACCCGCGTAGTTTGAGGTATAGCATGCCTCCATTGGCCACGGGGATGGTGAGCTATCGTCCTCTGAATTTTAAGGACCCAACCCCGCTTTAAGGACGCTTTTCTACAGACAGGAACACCAGTACGTCCTTAAAGCGGGGTCGACTGCACCCCGTCCTTTTTTTTCCGGAGTTGATTGCGTAGTAGTTGTTGTTGTAGTATTCGCGAATCCATCTGGTCCCTGTGAGCTATTTATTACATGCAGCGTAGTTTTTTGGTGGTTGGTGTAGAAAATAATCGAATGTATGTATGTATGTACAATTTGCGACAAGAAGACGACATGTCACAGTGATCAATCCTTGAGCGCCGCGGCGGCCGCTGCCCCCACCTCCTCCGTGTTCACCTACTTGCTTGTCATCAATAAACAACTTCTCGTTGCCAGATTCTTGCTGTGACCTCCGAACTTACAGATCCACATGGATACATACCTTATGAACGTCACAGGAGGGGGAGCGGGGGGGGTTGTTGTCTGGTTACGCAAGACAGAGTGCACAGGTGGCCAGTGGGCACGGTTGTACGGGGGCGTTGTGAAACCTCCGGCCAACGAGGGGTTATTACATGGGATACCGTGGGGGGGTTACAGGCCGAGCGGGCATAACGTGCCGGGTTATGAAGAAAGCGGTTATGCGCGGATTGGTGTGAAGGAGGAGAAAAGAAAAATATGTGTGAGGCTTCCCCTCCCTTCCATTCATTGTATTTCACTCAACAGTCCACTAGAAGACTAAACAGTTGGCAATACATCGGCAGACAACTTTCCTCTCTTCAACGACGGTTAGTTAGCGCAGGAAGATCACACACCGCGGGGGTGATCGAACCAGCGACCTGCGTCTAGGAAATCTATCGGTAGGCCCCTACGCCATATGTTGATGCATACATCTCATTCGCAAATTCCATGAAGAATCTATGATCTATAATAATACATAGTGATGGGGGGGGGGGGGGGGGGGGGG